ATTTAAGTCCCCCTATGAGGCGAAGCCGTGTTTTTTGCTTTGGTTTGGGGGCTCCTGTTTGTTTGTTTCTTTATAGACAGGGTCTCCCTCTATTGCCTAGGCTGGAGTGCAGTGGCACAATTCAGGTCTCACTGCAACCTTGAACTTCTGGGTTCAAGTGATTCTCCTGCTTCTGCTCACCAAGTAGCTGGGACTACAGGCGCCGTGCCTGGCTAGTTTTTTTTTTAAATCTTTAGTAGAGACAGAGTCTTGCAGTGTTGCCCAGGCTGCTCTTGAACTCCTGGCTTCAGTCCATCTTCCCACCTCATGCTCCCAAAGCGCTGGGATTACACGCATGAGCCACCACACCCAGCCGCAACACAGTATTATTATCACATTTTTACAGATGCGCAAACTGAGGCTCAGACAGGTGAAATGAGCTGCCCAAGACCACACAGCAACAGGCGGAGCAGGGATCTAAATTCAGACTCTGGGGCTACAGACACTGCACTTCTTTTATTCTTTTTTTTCTTCCCACCCCCCCCCTTTTTTTCTTTTTCTTTTTTTCTTTTTTTTTTTTTTTTTTGGAGACATGGTCTCACTCTCTCAGGCTGGGAATACAATGGCATAATCACAGCTCACTGAAGGTTCAACCTCCTAGCCTCAAGTGATCCTCCCACCTCAGCCTCCTGAGTAGCTGGGACTACAGGCTGCACTATGACCACCCCTGGCTCATTTTTATTTTTGTTTTTGAGACAGAGTCTCGCTCTGTCACCCAGGCTGGAGTGCAGTGGCTCAATTTCAGCTCACTGCAACCTCCACCTCCCGGGTTCAAGTGATTCTCCTGCCTCAGGCTCCCGCCAAGCTGGAATTACAGATGTGTGCCATCACACCCAGCTAAATTCTCCCCCTTTGGGGTGGGGACAGCAACCCCAGGCATGTAGCTTCCCAACCCACCAGACCTAATACCCTAACATCCCGCTGACAGTGGTGGCTGTTCTCGCTGAGCTGGCGTCCCAAAGCACACCGAGCCAGACTCAGGCAGAGTGGAAGTGGCCTGAGTGGTCCTACCCTGAAAGGGGTCTCCCCAAGGCGATGCAGAAACTGGGATGTGCTCTGCTGAGCATGAGGTTGGCTGGAGTGAGGCTTATAGGCGGTGCCCACAGGCGGATTAAGGTCTCAGCTCTTTAATCACCACGCTCTTCCCATCACAGGCTGACCACAGTCTGCCCCCAGGGCTCAGCCATGAACACAGAGGTGTGGGGAGAGAGGGAGAGAGGGAGAGACTCAGAGGTCCTGAGAAAGACTAGTAGTGAGAGATGCTGGAGACAAACACATGGAGACTCCGAAGAGAGATGGAGAGAGAGAGGAAGAGACAGAGAGAGACGCGGGGATGGCAGAGAGACCGGAAAACAAAGACCGGAAAGAGAGCCACGGAGAAAAGGGAAAGACAGAGACATCCAGAGAGGGAAAAGACAGGAGACCCTAAAACAGAGATAAATACAGAGAACAGGCCGGGCGCGGTGGCTCAAGCCTGGAATCCCAGCACTTTGGGAGGCCGAGGTGGGTGGATCACAAGGTCGAGAGATCGAGACCAACCTGGTCAACATGGTGAAACCCCGTCTCTACTAAAAATACAAAAAATTAGCTGGGCATGGTGGCGCGTGCCTATAATCCCAGCTACTCGGGAGGCTGAGGCAGGAGAATTGCCTGAACCCAGGAGGTGGAGGTTGCGGTGAGCCAAGATCGCGCCATTGCACTCCAGCCTGGGTAACAAGAGCGAAACTCCGTCTCAAAAAAAAAAAAAAATAATAATAATAATAATAAAGAGAACAGAAATGAGAGACAGAGAGACCTGGGAGAAAAAGAAAAAGGGAGGAGAAGAAAGACAGGAAGAAACAGAGAAATCCAGTCTAATTAGAAAGAGAAACACTGAGGCGGGAGCATCGCTTGAGCCCAGGAGCTCAAGACCAGCCTGGGCAACATATTGAGACTTGGTCTCTATGAATATTTGAAAAATTAGCCGGGTATGGCGCTGTGTACCTCTAGTCCCAGCTATCTGGGAGGCTCAGGTGGGAGGATCACTTGATCCCAGGTGGTCGAGGCTGCAGTGAGCTGTGATGGTGCCACTGTACTCCAGCCTGGGCAACAGAACAAGACAGACAGAAGGGAAGGGAAAAGAAGAAAGGGAAAGGAGGGGAGGGGAGGGAAGAAGGAGGTGGCGAACCAGGGCAATTTAGGAGGCTGAGGAGGGAGGACTGCTTGAGACCCCAGAGTTGAAACCAACGTGGCCAACATAGCAAGACCCTATCTCTATAAAAAACAGAGATGGGCCGGGTGCGGTGGCTCAATCCTGTAATCCCAAGCACTTTGGGAGGCTGAGGCAGGCAAGTCACCAGTTCAAGAGATCAAGACCATCCTGGCCAACATGGTGAAACCCCATCTCTACTAAAGATACAAAAAATTAGCTAGGTGCGGTGGCACGAACCTGTAAGCCCAGCTACTCGGGAGGCTGAGGCAGGAGAATCACTTGAACGTGGGAGGCAGAGGTTGCAGTGAGCCGAGATCACACCACTGCACTGCAGCCTGACAGAGCAAGACGCTGTCTCAAACATAAACAAACAAACAGAAGTAGGGAGGAAGAAAAATGTGCATTCATTCAACAAACATTTACTAAGTGCCTAGTGCTGTGCTGAGCACTATTTTAAATGTTGGGATACAGAAGTGAACAAGACAAAATCCCTGCCCGAGAAAAGCCAGCATTCCAGAGGACAGCCTACCAGAGCAAAACGGAAGAAGAGTCAGGAATTGGGGAGAAAGCCAGAGGTGGTCATAAAGAGGATCCAGTGGCAAGCCGGTCACAAAGGGCTGGGGCAGGGCTGGAGGAGGATGCGGCTTACTGCGCCCCGCTATGCTCCCCACTGTCAGTGCAGTCAGCAGCTCTGAGCAGGGACTCTGCCCCACAACCCTTGCCAGTCCACAGGTTCCAGAAAGGCTGACAGGGAGGAAGACCCACGGGACAGACAAAGCGAAGCACAGCCTGGGAGAGATACGGGGAGAGGAAGACACAGATATACTGAAGAGAGAGACAGAAAACAGACACGAACAGAGGCCCAGACTGAGAGGAGAGAGAGACAAACACAGAAACACAGAGACGGAGAGTGAGGGAGGCTGGGTGGGGGGGGGGGGGGGCGGGTGGCTCACGCCTATACTCCCAGCACTTTGGGAGAGCAAGGCCGAAAGACTGCTCGAGCCCAGGAGTTGGAGACCAGCCTGGACAGCACAGTGAGACCCTGTCTCTTCAAAAAATACAGACCCTGTCTCTTCAAAAAATACAAACTGGCTGGATGTGGTGGTGCACACATGTGCTCCCAGATATTCGGGAGGCTGAGGTGGGAGGACTGTTTGATCCCAGGAGGTTGAGGCTTCGGGGAGCCATGATTGTACCACTGCACTCCAGCCTGAGGGACAGAAGCCAGACCCTGTCTCAGAAAGAGAGAGAGTAAACAAAGAGACACAGAGAGACCCTCCCAGACAGTGCCAGAGGCTCTGCACAGTCTCTCCACCGTCTCCCCAGGTCTGGGCCATGTGCCAGGCACTAGGAGGAAGACTGGATCTCGCCAAGCAGGGACAGGCAGGAGGGTGGGCCACATTCCTCAACAGTCTGCTCCAAACACAGCCCCACCCTCACTGCTCCCACCACCCCAGCCCCGGCCCATCCAGGCGTGAGTCTGCCCCCTCTAGCCCACACCCGAGGACTGGGGGAGAGGCGGGTAGATGAGAGAATGAGGGATAAGTCCGTCGGCTGTCATGTCCCGGCCTCAGATAGGGACTTGGGGACTGGATACCAGAGGTTCAGCAGCATGGGCACAGGACATCTGGGGGCATCGGGAGCCACCACTTGGGAATGAAGATGGTAGATTCAGGGCAGGACATGATATGGAGGTACAAGGGGGTTGACATGCAGAAAGGTACCCTGAAGAAATAAGTCTAAACACAGACGTGCCAGGCTGATGGACATTGGAAGTCAGAGAAATTACAGGAGGAGCAGGGGGATGAGCGTAGCACGCAGGGTCCCAAGAGCAACGGAAGTGACAAAGGCTCAGGTGTGAGTTCCTAGGAATCCTAGGCATGGGGCACGGGAGTGCCAGGGATGTCTTTATTTATTTACTTATTATTATTTTTTATAAAGACGGGATTTTACCATATTGGTCAGGCTGGTCTTGAACTCCCAACCTCAGGTGATTCACCAGCCTTGGCCTCCAAAGTGCTTGGGTTACAGGTGTGAGCCACCACGCCCAGCCTATTTTTTATTTTTTGAGACAGAGTTTCGCTCTGTGCAATGGCGCAATCTCGGCTCACTGCAACCTCCACTTTCTGGGTTCAAATGATTCTCCTGCCTCAGCCTCCTGAGTAGCTGGGATTACAGATGCCCCCCCCTCAAAGCCCGGCTAAATTTTGTATTTTTGGTAAAGACGGAGTTTCAGCATGTTGGCCAGGATGGTCTTAATCTCCTGACCTCGTGATCCGCCCGCCTCAGCCTCCCAAAGTGCTGGGATTACAGGCGTGAGCCACCGCGCCCAGTCTTACAGGTGTCTTAGCAGCGTATTTGAGCTGGGTGCAATGGCTCAAGCCTGTAGTCCCAGCACTTTGGGAGGCTGAGGCGGGCTGATGATCACCTGCAGTCGGGAGTTGGAGATCAGCCTGGCCAACATGGTGAAACTCCATCTCTACTAAAGATACTAAAAATACAAAAATTACAGGTGTGGTGGTGCATACCTGTAATCCCAGCTACTTGGGAGGCTGAAGCAGGAGAATCTTGAACCTGTGATTCAGAGGTTGCAGTGAGCAGAGATTGCACCTCTGCACTCCAGCCTGGGCAACAAGAGCGAAAACTGTCCAAAAAAAAAAAAAAAAAAAAAAATTAATAGTGCTCGCTTCGGCAGCACATATACTAAAAATTGGAACGATACAGAGAAGATTAGCATGGCACCTGTGCAAGGATGACGTGCAAATTCGTGAAGCGTTCCATATTTTTTTTATTAAAAAAATAAAATAAGGAAATAAATAAGGAGAAAGGAGGACGAGGGTTAATAGTAGCATTTGAAGGTCAGCGTGTATTCATGAACAGAGGTACTGGGTATAGCATTCAGGGGGCCCACAGGTGGCGCAGGAACACACCTACAGGCCAAGTTAAGTTGGACTCAAAGGTGCTCAGGGCTCAGGATGGTGCACCTGTTGGCCGGTTGTGTTGACATGAAAACGCTGGGGCCCCAAAGTTGCTAAGTAGGACAGGCTGAGGCAGGCACATACACACAGAAGCCAGGGGAGCCAGGGCATAGTTCCACTAGGGCTGGGGACAGGGTGGAGACCTCAGGTTGGGGAATACACAGCATGAGCAGCCAGGAGACGTCCACTCCTCCCACTTCGGGTCTCCACCCCTAAGACCCCTTGGAAATCACATAGAGGTGAAGGGGTGCAGGCGTGGAGAACTGCGGGCATGATGATCGGGGGATCTCGGCGCTGCTGTTGTGGCTTCTGGTGCTGGCGCTGGCATGGTGGGGGTAGGTGGGTGCGGCGCTCAGATGCAGGGGTCCCTACCTCCCCGGTCCAGGCCGCTCCCATTGCTGGGAATCTTGCTGCTGTAGTCTGGAGGCCTGGACCGGGCACTCCTGGAGGTAACCCCACAGAAATGGGGGAACAGAATTCTGGATTCTTGGAGGCAGGGCTGGGGACTAGAACACCTCCTGAATGAAGACAGCTGAGGGCTTGTCCTCTATGATCCTGAGGAAGGACAGGAAGGATGAGTGCCTCGGACTCCTCTGAGTTCTAGGAAAGGAGCCTAGCGAGCATGGTGGGACCAGGACACTGGGTCGTAAGGGAGGAACCCAGAGCAGGAAATCAGGTTGTGGGAAGAGGGAGCAGAGCGGGTCTGTTCTGGTTCAAGGCGGGGAAGCCGAGTACTGAGGGTCCAGCAGTCCAGCTCTGAGGGTGCAGGTGGCTGGCAAGTAGGACTTCTCGGTCCCACGGGAAGAAGGAAGAGGGAGCCTGGACTCCTGTCTCAGGGAGGAAGGAGCTGGGGATCTGAACTCCTGACCCTGAGGAATGAGGGGCTGGCGTGGGGGGGATCTCCTGGGTCTGAAGGAAGAGGGAGGTGGGGGTGAGGGCTCGAATGAGAAACCCGATGGGCACCTGCTGAGTACCGGCCCCTGGTGCTCTCCGGCCGCTGGGGCCCGCGCTCTGCAGTGGCGCTGTGTGTGCGGCTCTGCAGCGCTGCGGGACGCGTTGGTGCTACCGGCCGATGCCTTTTCCGGCCGCAGGTCCATGGCCGTCTTCGAACCTTCACACGCGTTAACGGTGAGGCCCCGGCGCTGGACGTCCTGGCCGGGATGCTCCAGGATGGGCCCCTAAAGGTAGACGTGGGAAAATGGAGGCAGGGCCTGACAGAGACTCCAGCCTACCAGGTGCCCACCGCCCAGAGAGGGCGGGAAGGCGCTAAAGCAGGTTCGAACCCAGCTTCATTCCGCAGCCGAGAAGAGAGAAGAGCCCAAGACTCAAAGCCCGAGAGCCTCTGGGTACAGGTCAGGGATCGAGACCAGCAGAGGGGCCAGCGCGTGGACAGGGCACTTAGCGGTCTGGTAAAGGAGCAAAGCGAAGGAAGGCGGCCACAGGGGTCGGAGGCCCAGAAAGGGATGTAGCTAGTGACCCGGCACTTCCTGGATGGGGCGTGGCCAACTCCTGGGCCCGCCTCTTTTCCTGTCACCCCGACAGGAATCTTGTTTTCTAACAGGACGCGCTGGCGGACACTACGCAATTTTGCGCTTGGAGCGCTGGACTTCGGATTGGGTGTGCGGAGCATCGAGGCGCACGTCCTGGAGGCGGCGGCTGGTCTTCTTCAAGCCACCATTGGTGCGGCCTGGCCGGGAGAGCAGAAGGGCCTGGTGTGGGTGTGGCCCTTGGACTGCCAAGATGGGGCCACTGAAAGGTGTGTGGCTTTAAGCAAGCCAGTAAGCCCGCGGAGCTGGCTGGGGGCCGGACCACACGTTAGGACCACCGTCCTGTTCCCACCCTCAGGAGCCCGGCTTGACCCCATGGGCCTCTGGATAATGCTGTATTCAATGTCATCTGTTCTTGTCTTCAGGAACCACTATTAGTTATGGGGACCCCGAGTTTCTGACGCTCTTGAACCTCTTCAATGACACCTTCCACATCACGCTTTCCAGACGGGGCCACGTGAGAGGGCTGGCCACAGTCTCTCCCTTTTGAGTCCAGCCTTATGCCAAACCGCGAGTATGCAGACCTACCTACAGTGGATCATTAGAGTGGGACAGTGAGATTCTTGGAATGGAAGAGTTCTAGAAGCTCCAGTATCAAAGTCCTGGTCCAATCTTCCTAGTCTAAGGAAACTAAGGCCTAGTGGCTTCTTCCAGGGCCCTTGTTGAGACCGTCTCTCCAGATGATTTTTCCCGTCTCTCATGGACTGGCTCCCTGGCCGCACCACCTAAATCTCCGGAAACTTCGGAGCTGCAGGTCTTCATCTCTCAGCAAATCCAGCGACACCGGCAGATGTGGCAGCCAGTGGAGACTTGCGATTTCATCGATTGCTTCCTTGACCAGATAGCTAAGATATATGTGGATCCCAGCTCCCTAAACTGTCGATGCTGCCCACCAAGTGCCTAGCACGCAACAGTGTGTCTCCTCTGCCCACAGCAACAGCCGGATCCAGGAGGAGACGCTGATAATTACACCTTTTTTTTTTTTTTTTTTTTTTTTTTTTTTTGTTAGCACCGAGACCACGAGCGCCACCCTGCACTATGGGCTCCTTATTCTACTTAAGTACCCAGAGGGAGCAGGTTTTCAGCTGGAGAGACCCAGAATGGGAGGCTATGGTTTGGGAATGGCTGGAGGGTCCCGAAGTGCGCAGCTCACAACCTCCCCTGGCCTCCCACAAGGTGCACTGGAGCTGGACACCGTGGCAAGGCGGCTGCGCACCCCAAGCCTGGATGACCACGTGCACCTGCCCTACACCAATGCAGTGCTGCTTGAGATCCAGCGCTTCATCAGCGTGGTGCCGCCGCGCGCCCTCATTCGCGACACCTACCTGCGAGACCACTTTCTGCCCAAGGTGCCCACCGACTCTGGGGATCCTGTTCGGGGCCCGGGTGCATAAGCGTGTATTCCGAGATCAGCCAGAACGGGAGGGCGTGCACTGTGCCGACTGAAGCAGTTATCCCTGGAGCAGGAAGGAAGGCCCACCTTCCCTTAGGCTTTTTTTTTTTTTTAAGACAGTCTCTGTTGCCCAGGCTGGAGTACAGCGGTGCAATCTCAGCTCACTGCCACCTCCGCTTCCAGGGTTCAAGCAATTCTCCTGCCTCAGGCTCCTGAGTAGCTGCTATTACAGGCACCTGCCACCATGCCTGGCTAATTTTTGTATTTTTAATAGAGATGGGGTTTCACCATGTTGGCCAGGCTGGTCTCAAAACTTCTAACCTCAAGTGATCCACCCTCCTCAGCCAGAATACTGGGATTACAAGCATGTAATCCACTGGTCTATTTGTTGGGGCTTTTAAAAAGGGTCTTGGATAGAGGAGGCATACGTGCTCACCAAGTCCACAGGTAACCTGAGCTGCACGTACCCCCAGGGCACCTTTGATTCCCCTGCTTGTGACTGTGCCCCAGGACCCACTCAATTCAAGAACCCAGACTGCTTCAAACCTACCAACTTCCTGGACAACAAGGCCAAGTTCCAGGGCAATGATGCTTTCACGCCCTCAGGTGCCGGCAGGAGAGGAAGGGGACCAGCCTGGACCAGCTCGGGGGTGCATGGTGATCATTATGCACCCGTGTACCCAGGAAAGCGAATGTACCTGGGCGCAGGCCTGGCCCACTTGGAGATCTTCCTCTTCCTTACCGCCATCCTATGGAGGTTCTGCCTGCTCCCTGTGGTAAACCCTAGCTCCAACAACCTCACCTGCAGTGCACTGGCCTGAGCAAAGTCCCCCAACCTTCCAGCTCCAACTAGTGGCCTGCTGAGGTCAGGCTCCACTACAGTGGGCTCGCTGGCCCTCAAACCTCCATACCCTCCCTGGTCAATAAAGGCCCTAAATTGCAGATGGAGTCAGATGTGTGCAGCTCTGAGGTAAACTTTTATTTCTTGGCTGATAGGACTTCCACACCCATGCTCCTCCTGGCACCTTCTACTCTGCCCAAGCAGTGGCAGCCCAGTCACAAAGGTGCCTGCCATGGCCACAGGGGTTGGGGAGTCACTTCACATTCCAGGCTGGACGAGTGAGAGGGCTTGGGGGTACTCCCCCCACACCATTGCCAGCAAGAGGCCATGACTCACCGCAACCCCAAATCCTGCCTCCTGGTGGGAAGTGACAATGCCTCCTCCCAGCTCTCCACACCTAATGGGGTCATGACCAGACAGGGTAGGACCCAGGCCCCCAGCCTCAGTTGGTAACGGTGGCCTCCAAGGCTGCCCCCGATCCCGGTCACAACCCCAGCCCCCATCATGGGGCAGCAGAGGTCTCTTCTGCTCCTTGGTCCTCAGCGACAGACAGAGCCTTCCATGCCAGGCAGGACAGAGGCAGAGTCAGAAGCAGCAGCGGTGGCAGGGAAGGAGCGGCCAGCACGAGCGCAGGGCTCTCCTGAAGTCAGGGCAAGCTGTCTGCCATGCGGCTCTGGGACCCGGCCACTAGGTGGGCGTAGGCGGCTGTGATACAGGTACTTGGACACCTTTCTGTCCTGATGCTGGGGGTGAGAGGGGACAGGAGATGGTGAATCATCAGGGAACGGATGAAAAAGCCAAGGGAAACCTGGGGAGATGAAGAGAGGACCAGGAACAAATGGGGCTCCTGTTGGGGTACCAAGAGAGTGGAGTGTCTAAGGAAGGTGGGCAGAGATGAGGAAAAGTGAGTGGTGGGATTTAACGAGAGGCTGAGGGGGATGGGGTGGCGTCAGGCCCAACAGGACCCACGGAATAGGAAGGACTGGAGAGAGGGAAGCAGATACCTAGCTGATACTTGTCTTTGGCTGCTGCCCGCTCCTTGGCATCAAAATACCAGACAGTGATGGCGTACCTGGGGACCGGGGTGGTTGGACATCAGTTTTCTGCAATTCCAGCTACCATCTCCACACAGAATGCTAGGAAGCCATCCTTTTGAGCCACCCGGTTCTGCTCCCACCTAGGCCCCTTCTCAGTACGTCGTCACTCCCTAGTTACTCTGGGGCTCCGACAGGACACTATCACAAGGGAAGCAGGTGGGTGCATCCCCAGAAGTACAGGTCATACCTGGTGGCATACGCTGGCTTCACCTCGTGGGGGTTCCGCCGGTCAGACCAGAAAATGAGCAACCGGTCAAAGAGTGGCTCGATGTTGGCTACCACCGGCCGGCCCTCAGGGAAGATCTGCAGCAGGCCTCCATGCACCTGGGGGTGGGCCAGAGGATGAGGCTGGCTGGTCCCACCCAGAGCCGCGGCCTCCCAAGGCCCCAGGAGCCCACCAGAGGGCGCAGCGTCTGCCCATATCACTCCCTCCCACTACTCGGGCTCTCAAAATGAATGACAACCCAGAGTCTGCATCACCATGGAGATGGGCAGGAAGCTACTAAATACAGGAAAAGGGGGAAAGTGTTCATTACAAGGCCGGGTGGGGCTGGGCAGACAGCACCATTCCCGGAAAGAGGGGAGTTCCCACCACACAGTCAGCTAGGGAGGAGGTGGTGCCATTTCGCAGGAAGAGCCGGCAGATCGCACCGGCAGATCGCACCGCCCGCTGTGGGTTGAAGAGGAACAGGAGAATGCCAGAATCTGGGCTGAGAGTGGAAAATGGAGTGGATGCACGCCACCCCTGCCCGGCCCCAGCCCCGGCCCCACCCTCGCCCTCGCCCCTACCTTAACGTCCCAGTTCTGATTCAGGTAATAGATACAGGTGATGCAGCGTCCGTCGCCGTGGGGATTGTCAACATGCCTTACGTACCCGAGCCCGTTGCCTGGGTAACACGCCACCATGGCCTGGCAGGGATGGAGGGAGGTAGGTTTACTGGGGCCAGGTGGGCACTTCTTGGAGAAGCAGCCATGAATTACCTATTTCCCCACCCCTCCTTGCCCCCCGTCTTCCCCTTGACTCCGTGAATATCCTGGGATCCAAGCTCCTGCCCCAAAAGACTTTCTCTTTTTTCAGCCAAAGTCCCATCCTGGAGTCCATCAGCAACCTCAGCTCCTGGTCCTCAAGAGCCCACTCCCTCCCACACACATACTTGGGGACTGGCACCCAGCTAGGGCTCAATGAGTAACAGAGGATTTGATTTTTTTTTTTTAAGATACCCCAAATCCCACCTCAGTCACTTCAGTAGAGTAATACCAATTTAAACATTTTTATATGTGTGGGGAGGTGGTCTCACAGCCCTAGACCTGGGGTTCTTACCCTTGGCTGTGGAGTGGAACCGCCCTGGGGAGCTCTGAGGTTCTGATGTACCCAGCCTAAGGAAGGGCCTGAAACCTGTAAAAGCTCCCAGGTAATTTCTACTATGCAGCAATGTTGAGAACTGCTGTCCTGGACTACAAAGAATCCCCACTAAATTATCTGTCCCACATACATCTGAACAGGAACCAAAACCTAGAGTCTGAATAGAAAGTGCGATCTATTGGGAGGCCAAGGCGGGTGGATCACAAGGTCAAGAGATCGAGACCATCCTGGTCAACAAGGTGAAACCCCGTCTCTACTAAAAATACAAAAAATCAGCTGGGCATGGTGGCGCGTGCCTGTAATCCCAGCTACTCAGGAGGCTGAGGCAGGAGAACTGCCTGAACCCAGGAGGCAGAGGTTGCGGCGAGCCGAAATCGCGCCATTGCACTCCAGCCTGGGTAACAAGAGCGAAACTCCGTCTCAAAAAAAAAAAAAAGAAAGAAAGAAAGTGAGATCTAATTCCAGCTCCAAGGATAATTTGCTGGGTAACCCCCGCCAGTTTCACCTGAATGGGCCTCAACTGTCTCGTGTACAAGGCTAATAAACACTTCTCTGTTTAATAGCACTAGCAATTCACCCTTCTGAGAACGTAACTTTGGAGGTTCCGGACTCCCATCCCCTGTAGATCTAACAGGACTCATTCCAGGGCTTGGTTTCTCTGTCTAACAGGGTTCTTTCTGTGCTGCAGCTGGGGCCCCGGGATGTCCGTCATCAGGGAGCTGGCAGAAAGGTGGCTGAGAGGTAAAGGAAACGGCCCAGCCACCTCTGCAGGCCCAATTCCCTGGTCTGAGTCTCAGTGCTGCCACATGAGCTGTGACATCAGGCAGGCAACTTCCTTGTCTCAGGTTCCTCATCCATGAAATGCAGCTGACAGCTATGTCACAGGTTGTGTAACAAGCGAACAAGATAACAAGTGTCTGGGAAGACAGCCAGCACAGTGCCTGCGACACCGAGAGCCGGAGCATGGGCTGAAATGCCATTAAAAAATAAAAAAGGTCCCTGTCCCACCGTCTGCCCAAAGTCACTGCAGTGGCAAGATGAGGTAGTAGGCAAAAAGGGGAGGACCAGCACAAGGACCCTTCAGCTTCTCCCCGGCCTGGACCATCCACCTTGACCTCTCCGCCCCAGTACAACTCTGCCAGCTTCCGCTCTCCACCAATCTTCAGCTACACCTATGGGCCCAGCCCAGCAAGACAGCCCCAAGATAAACATTCACGATCAAACATCAGTGGCTGCGGCCACAACAGGATGCTTGCCAAGCACGCACGCCACGGCAGGCTGCGCCACTTCAATCCTCGCCCTCCCCAGGATGCCTCCCAGCACATTATCCCAGGGCTCACCCCACTTCGGGTGCTAAGCTGCTCTGCATTAACCATGTGCACCTGATCCACCACAGACCCTGCCCTGGAAAGAGAGGGCTGCCACTGTCTATGACCACCTAGCAGCGGAAAGTCAACAACCTTCTCTCTGGCAGCACCAGAGTCCAATTAGTGACCAGGCCCCCAGGGAAAACCCTAGCTGCTGCACCCCAAGGATGAGGAGCGGGCACCTTCTCTGCACTGCTCACTCCCTGCAGATGGGTCAGTGCTCTGTGCAACCACCTCACTGGGAGAGGAGAAGCAGGGAGGTGCTGACTAGAGACGGGCAAGGCCTCCCCAGTTAGGAAGCCAATCAGAGATCACGCTGATGATGCAGGTGAATGGGTGAGGGGAAGGGGCCAAGTGCGGCACCCGCCTCCTGCCACAATTCATCCCCACACGGCAGCCAGAGCCCCTGTCTCCAGGTCTTCACTGCATCCTGAGAAAATACAAGTTACCAGCCACAGCCGCCAAGGCCCCCAACCTCATGTGCCACTCCCATCACTCTGCGCCACAGCCTCAACAGGCTGAGCTCATCGCCCCCACAAGGCCTCTACTGGCCTGGGACAGTCTTCCTTCTGGTCCTCCTTTTCGTTCAGGACTCAGAGGTCAAGGGTCACCTTGAGTACTCCAGCTGATTAGCAACACGGCATCAGCAGAGGCACCTGTTTACCTAGTACTGGCATGGAAAGTAGCCACAGGGAAGCCCCTGGGGCCAGGTGGATATTCCCAGTGCGCAGTCCAGCACCTGCTGACCAAGCGCACTCTGGGCCTCCTCTGTGCCCCAGCCTCGCTGTGTTCCCTCCTGCCCTGTCCATTCTCACACAGCACCTCCCACCAAGCACACAGGACTCACGCAGAAACAGGAACCTGCTCCTTTAAGGCCCCACCCTTCCCCCACATATACACACCTTGAGGGTGAAAGCATCCTCTGGCACCAAGAAAGCGCCTACTTCCTGCCCTCATAAGGGAAAGCCTCAGGAAACTTTCTCTCCATCCATCCCACCTAGGGGAGGGGCAGATGGGAGCAGAGCCAGGAGACTGAAGACTTAAAGGCTATTGGTGACAATGTGTCTGCCAAAAGCCCCACCGCCACTACACACATGCCAGTCAGAAGCCTGTGCCTGAGCCAATGACAGCTGGTCCCACCTCCAAGCTGCTCTTCAAGGAGCAAACCAAGCAAGCTGGACCCTCCCTGGGGTCCCCTCTGGTAGCCCTTGCTGCTAGTGGGAGTCAACCCTCTCCCACCTACAGGTCAACCGAGCACCTGTCCCCAACCAGGGAGTCAGGGGAAGTTAGGACACAGGAGCTCCACTCAGAACGACTAAGAAGCAGGTTGCCACTGGCTCTGGCCCCACTGGTGACCCATGTTCCCACGGCAACTGCTGCAACCCACCTCAGCACCCCACAGCCTTGCTCCAGGGTCCGTGAGTGTGTCCAGATGGGGCCCTCTAAAATCGGGAAAGCCTGGAGTTGCTATCTCCCTGGGGAGGGGAGCACTCCTCCCATACATTCCCAGTCCAGCCTGGCCTGTCCTTACCTCCCTAGGGCAATTAGGGTCCCTTAGGGCTACAAAAGTCCCAACCCCATTCCCCTTTCCCAGTCCTCATGAGGGCCCTGTCCCCAGCCACGTGGAAGGTGGGCATCAGAGGCACCAAAAGACAAGAGACCTTCTCCCCTCCTCAAACTGACACAGACATGCTGGGGAGGTACAGACATGCTGGGGAGGTAGGTAGCCTGGTTTTCCTATTCCATGGATTAGCAAACTGAGGGTCAGGGCAGTGTCCCATCTGGGCCACTCAGCCCTTCTGGTCTCCCCCAACGAGGACGACAGCCAACCTGGGGTGAAGATGCTGAGCCAGGGAGGCCACTGATCCCGCTGGCACAGGAGCCAAGCCCAGGGAGGGGCTGGCTCTGGCTCAGCTATCAAGTAACAGGAGGGAGAGGGAAGTAGAACAAGTTCCAGCTGGGGTGGGGAGGAAACAGTCCTTGGCCCCGGGGGAGCCCTGGTCCCTGAGCCAGCTCCAGCCTGAGAGGAAAGCCACACAGAGGCAGAACCCAAGATGGAATCTACAGGAGAAGGAAGGGGACATCAGAAGCCCAGCCTCACGCCTGCAGGGCACAACACAGCCCGTGCCATCAGCCAGCTGTGCTGAGCAGCAGACACTCCCCATGGGCCCTTATCCAAAGGACACCAAGCCTTGGACTCAAGGCCAGGGCCCCCACACTGCCCATGAAGAGAATAATTGTGTCAGCAGGCTGGAAAGGCACTGTGGATCACCTCCTGTGTTGGGCTCCTGACCCCACGTTCCAGAACAGGTAGCTGGAGGCCATGAGGCCTTGACAGCTGCCCCTAAACTCCAAGCAAATGAGCATTTGTCTTAAGAGAGGATCTGTGGCCTCTGACACTGTCTCAAAAAGACCCAGGCTCCAAAATACAATTTAGAACTATTGTTTGAAAGCAAAAACGAAAAGGGACTAAGAACAAACAAATGAAGGCAGAGAGAAGAGAGCAGAGATGGCCAGGGAAGAAGTGACACACAGGACGGGGGAATGGAGGGCAGGGACTCGGACAGGGACTGGTGGGAGAGATGGGGACGAGAGCTCCACCCGGACCAGCAGGCAGCCACCTAGTGCCACCCCCGGGAGGCTGTCCTGTATGCAGACGCCACAGTGGGGACCCAGGGCACAATGCAGTCCAGGCCCAGGCGCCCAGCCCGGCACCCCTTCCCTTACCTCAGCCCAGGGCTCACTCCTCACAGCCACCTCCCCCTTCTGCTTCTGTTGCCTGGGAGACAGGATGGACAGCCGAGGGACACGGGCCAGCAAACAGGGAAGGACGGATGCAGAAGCACAGGGAAGGGCAGACAGCAACAGAGGACGGACAGGTGAACTGTGTGCCTGTCTACATCACCGTTCTTGGTCCGGGGCCACAGACACCAGGAGGCTGTAAACCCCACTATGGCCCATGCTGTGAATGTCAGCAGCTTTCATAAGGTTCTTCAAGAGGGTTCCTGGCAAAGTCAAGAACCACTGCGGCTCCAGGCCAAAACTCCTGGCTTACAGGTGCACACATTAAGGCCCACAGGGAAGACAAAGACACCACCCCCACCAAGTCCCCACGATAGAGCGTACCCCCTCCACCGAACAGCCTAAACCCTTCTGTGACTTCCCAGAAGCCTGTCTCCAAATCCATTGGGCTCAGAGCACTGGACGCCACACCGGAGTGCTGCAAAGCCCCTGCACAGAGGCCCCCACCTAGCCTTACCTTGGTGCGCCCGTTGATGACGTAGCTGCCCAGCCGCCCTGCGCAGTGGCGGATGACGGCATCCACATGGGCCATGAGGGCTCCGATGCTTCGGCAGCCTGGCTCATGGCCTTCCACCCAGGCAATCTGGTCCCCACGGATGCTGCGCGGCGGGATCGCCCGCTGGCTGACCAGCTGCCCATCTCGCAGGCGCCCACCCCGTTTGAGGGCCTCCACCTCGGCCAGCACGCGGCCACCCAGTGCTGCCCCCAGGAAGCTGTCCTTGACGCAGATGCCATAGTACCGCATGCAGGGCACGATATAGTCCAGGGCCAGGCGCTCAGGCGCAGAGGGCAGCACCTCCTCCACCAGCCCAGCGCGGGCCTCACCACTGCCACTGCTGCAGCCGCAGCTCAAACCACCCTCCCGCTGCTCTGCCTCCTGGTTCTCTTGCCTGGCCCAGGGTCGCTTGCTGGGTGAAGGGGCATCCCCACCATCCTCGGCCCATTTCCGTTTGGGGGCCTCAGGCCGAGCACCCTGGGCTGCCAGTCGCTGGCACCCCTTGGTGACCAGCGCTGCGGCACCTTCACTCTGCAGCGGCCGCAGCTCACCACCATCCTGCCCACCAAAGCCCTCCCGAAGGGGGCTGGCAGTGGTAGAGGTGGCTGTGGCTCTGGGGGTCCCACTCCCTGCCGAGGCCTCACTGGGCACTCCTGGACAGTGGTAGGAGGGGAGCAAAGGACAGGGCAGGTAACTCTCCACCCCCATCCTGGCCCGGCCAGGCTCCAAGGACTCTGACGAAGACCCCGGTAACTGAGGGAGAGCCTGACTTAGGGGCTGCGGCTGGCACGGGCTGTCCATGGCAGCAGTGTCTTCATCCCCCGGGCATGGAGGGCACCGCCCGGGCCCATGGTGCCACCCTCCTCCGCCTCCACTTGATGCAGCTGGGGGCCACCGGGCCTGGCGTGAGGCAGGGTGAGGCAGGGCAAACAGCGAGAGCTCTTCTCGTGCCCCGGGGATTGCTTGCAGGTCCCCAAGTCCTCCGCCGTCCCTAAGGGCTTGGGAAGGGACCCTTCAGGGTGGCTAGAGAAAGGAAAAAAAAGGGATGTGAGAGGAGCTAGAGAAGGGCAGGCAGGGGAAAGGGGTGATGGTATGGGCAGCAGCGGGGAAGACAAACAGTACAGACTTGGCTATAGAGACTCCCCAAAACCTGAGGCCAAGTCTGGGAGAGGACCCTGACAATCTGGGGGTGCGGGAGTCTGCTGACAGTTAAAGGCAGTGATAGGGAGAGGCTGGAGGCCAGAGGCTGGGTAGATGACCCCAGGACAGAGGACTGTGGGGCAGGCTGTGGGATGCGGTAACCACACGCACGGGAGTAGAAAAGGGTGGTGTGGACAGGTGGGGAAGAGGGGGTTTGCGAAATACGAGGGATCTGCCTTGGCGTTCCAGAGAGACACAGAGAAATATAGGGGATCCAGAGCCAGTCAGAGTTGGGGGTGGCGGGGTCAACGGAGGAAACTGGGGAGTCCAGGGACAAAGGGACCCAGGGACCGAAAAACAGACCGGAGGGAAGCTGGGAGGGAGGGCCCGGGACGGAGCGGGGCGGTGGGGTTGACCCGAGCCCGACGGGAGGAAGCCGGCCGGGGACGGACACACATCCAGACGGAAGGGAGGTCCCAAGACCGACCGACGGGAGGGGCCCTCGGGGAGAGGGTCCGCGGCGACAGAGGGAAGAACGGAGGAGGGTGCACGCACCCTGAGACAGGACGAGGGAAAAAGTCACCCCCCTCCCGGGTACCCCCACGCCCCCCACCCGGGACGGGCCCTGAGGCCCCTTCTGAGCGCTGTAGGCGACCGGGGCAGGGCCTAGAGACGGCTCGGACCCCCTCCCTTCCCCCTCCCCTCGGCCTAAGCCCGGCTCGCGCTCGCCGCCCCCGCCCCACCCCCCAACCGCCGGCACCCAACATCCCCGGCGCGCGTCCCCTCCCCCGCGCCGCACCCCCATCCCCCTCCCAGGGGTAGCACCCGCGGGCCCCGGAGCGAGCCCCAGCGCCTCGCCCGGCTCGCGCCGGCGCGCCGGCTCCGACTCTGTCTCCTCCCCGCTCCCTTCTCGCCCCGCAACCTCCTCACCGAGCTTTTTCCTCCGGCCCCGGCGCCGCCGTTTGTGCCAGCCGCCCTGCGCCGCACAGCGCGCCATGCCCCGCCCCCACCGCGCGCGACGCCCCGCCCCGCCCCGCCTCGCCTCGTGGGCACGTGACCGCGCCCCGCGGAGGGGACGGCGCCTGCGCAGGCTCGAGTCGCGCGGGGCGGAGCGAAGAAGTTCGGGACCACCCCCAACACCCGGGCGAAAGGAAACTGCGGTCCTTGGCCGACACGAGATTCATTTGCATCCTCCGCCCCGCCCCCTTCGCGCGGGTGGGGGAATGCAGTGAGCGGGCAGGTGTGGGAGGGGCGTTTCTTGCTTGTTGGAATCCAGCGCCGTCGGCGGGGCGGGGCGCGCAAATGATGTGATTTACATGGAGAGGCCCACCCCCCGCTCCCCATCCCCCCGCGCGGAGCACGGAGTGCGACGCGCGTGACTTCATTTACATGGTCAGCTCCTCCTCGCTACCCAGGAACGAGGGTGAGAGGAGAAACGGCTGTGCAGTTAGTTGGGAAAGGTATGTAAATTCGCCCGTCAGTAAATAATTTACAGAAGTATCTTTTATAAGTGCTGGACGCCCTTGAGAAAAGGAAACGCGGACTAGAATGGATGTGCAAATGTGTATTTTAAAGACACGCTCCGCCCTGCCCCGTGGGCATCAGAATAAAGAACCAGGGAAAGCCTGGGCAACTGAGCGAGACCTCATCTTTACACAAAATTTTTAAATGAAAACAAAAAAAATCCACGGAAAGCTACACGTAGAAGACATTTCCATGACCAGCTGGGAACATTTTGAGGGAATACGGAGAGACGGTCATTTTGAATACGCTGCCCCCTCCGCCATCGCTCTGGAAAGTTGGGACTCAAGGCTCCTGGGGCCGGTGAAGGGGATCATAGGGGTGGGAGGGCAACGAGCAACTGGGAGTGTCTTTAAAGGGCTGCACCAGTCCCCAGCAGGCCACCTGAGGGGGTAGGGAACGGTGTGTGAGCACAAGGACATACATGCATACTGGTATCCACACATGCATGACGATTGCACAGCAGCCTGCAGTCCTGAGGGCACACACAGGGTTCATGGCCACACAAGGGTGTTTCTTGTTTAGTTTTGTTTTGAAATGGGGTCTTACCCTTTTGCCCAGGCTGGAGTACTGTGGGACAATCACCGTTCACTGCAACCTCAACCTCCCAACTAAAGTGATCCTTACACCTCAGCCTCCCGAGTAGCTGGGACATCAGGTGTGTACCACCACGCCTAGCTAACTTTTGTTTTTTTCTTTTTCTTTTTTTTTTTTTTTTTGAGACGGAGTTTCACTCTTGTTACCCAGGCTGGAGTGCAATGGCGCGATCTCAGCTCACCGCAACCTCCACCTCCTGGGTTCAGGCAATTCTCCTGCCTCAGCCTCCTGAGTAGCTGGGATTACAGGCACGTGCCACCATGCCCAGCTAATTTTTTGTATCTTTAGTAGAGACGGGGTTTCACCATGTTGACCAGGATGGTCTCGATCTCTTGACCTCGTGATCCACCTGCCTCGGCCTCCCAAAGTGCTGGGATTACAGGCTTGAGCCACCGCGTCCGGCTGTTTTTTTCTTTTGAGACAGTCTTGCTCTGGTGCCAGGGTGGAGTGCAGTGGCGAAATCTTGGCTCACTACAACCTATGCCTCCCAGGTTCAAGTGATTCTCCTGCCTCAGCCTCCTGAGTAGCTGGGACTACAGGCACGTGCCACCACGCCCAGCTAATTGTTTTGCATTTTCAGTAGAGGCGGGGTTTCACCATGTTGGCCAGGATGGTATTGATCCCTTCACCTCATGATCCACCCCGCCTTGGCCTCCCAAAGTGCTGGGATTACAGGCCTGAGCCACCACTCCTGGCCGCACATGGGTGTTTAAAAGGAGCCAAATTCACACCAAAACACACACAGTTCTCAAGGGCACACGTGCACAGGCACACACACAGTAGTGAGTTACTGCCTACGACTTTCAGTCATGAGACATGAAGACTAGAGGCACACCTATAGGCCCAAATTCCCATCCCCTGGCCTTGATGTCCCAAACAATACCAGCCTCACCAATGCAATCACCGAGGCCACAGAGCAGTTACAGCTATCAGCATCACACACAACCAGCGCACATTTCTGTAGGTATCATCCCATACACAGGTTACTGGAAACATGTATACATGTCACAAACATAGGGATATCAGCGTGTTGACACACTTGAGCCTGGAACACAGATTGTCACACACTGTCCACTGAGTAACAAATTCCCTCCCTCTGCAACAGGCACCTGAGTCATCATGCTTGGTATACCCCTTACTATATCCAATCCAGAAACAAGGCCCCCAAACACCATGACCCATGAGTCTTCTGTCAGGGACTTCTTCCATCTCCCTGCCATCCAGGAATAACGGAGGCCAAGACATAGGTGTAAACAATGCTTTATGGGAGTAGGGTGGTGCTGGACAGGCCTCCAGGTAATAAATAACAGGTACTAGCAACAGCGGGGCCAGGCAGGCAGTTGGGGACAAATGACCCTGGTCTCAGGCTTTGGGAGCTCTTGGGGTATGGTTAGGGGTTCAGGGGGACAGAGGTTAGCCAAGACAGAGGAAGCAGCAGCAGGTACGGGTTCCCCCTTCCCCCGTGGCTCAGTCTTGCCCCAAAGCCAGGCCCCACCAGGCCAGGGAAGGGGGACAGGTGGTGGCGCAGCTCCTCTGGGGCCACGGCAGGTTGGGACACGGCCTCTCAGAGCCTGGGCCTGGGCCCCGGCCGGAAGGGCAGGGCTGGTCCTGGAGAACAGGTGAGCTGAAAGAGAAGGGTGTGGTGACCTGCAGGGTCCTGAGGTCTGTCCAGCTGGTCTCTGTCTCATTTCCAGGTATTTCCCTGCCTATCTGTATTGGTCTGTTCATACCTTTCTTCTCCCAGTTTCCACATTGTCTGATTTTGTGTCTCTCTCCTGCAGGTAATTTGGGGCTTACGCTGAGGGTACCTGCATCTCCCTATTTGTTTGCCTCAGAGAGCTGAGTCTGTAAAGCCAGATTTCAACATCTGATAAATATCATGTATCTGGCTAGACGCAATGGCTCATGCCTGTAATCCCAGCACTGTGGAAAGCCAAAGCGAGAGGATCACTTGAGCCCAGGGGTTTGAGACCAGCCATAGGCAACACCACAAAACCCTGTCTCTACAAAAAAATACAAACATTAGCCAGGCGTAGTGGCATGCGTCAGTGGTCCCAGGTACCTGGGGGCTGAGGTGGGAAGATCGCTTGAGCCTGAGAGGTGGAGTTTGCAGTGAGCCAAGATTGTGCCACTGCACTCCAGCCTAGGCAACAGAGTAAGACTCTGTCTCAAAAAAATAAAAATATAATGAACCTGCCTTTGTATCTCTCTGTGTCCCTCTATGCTCCTGGATCACCCTGATTCTTTTTTTTTTTTTTTTTAAACAGAGACCGGGTTTCACCATATTGGCCAGGCTGGTCTCAAACTCCTGATCTTGTGATCCACCCGCCTCCACCTCCCAAAGTACTGGGATTAAAACTTTGGGAGGCTGAGGTGGAGGACTGCTTGAGGCCAGGAGTTTAAGTCCAATCTGGCTAACACAGTGAGACCCTATCTCAAAGAAAAAAAAAAGAGGGGGGGGGACGAGGCCAGGTATGGTGGCTCCCACCTGTAATCCCTGCACTTTGGGAGGCTGAGGTGGGTGGATCGTTTGAGCTCAGGAGTTCGAGACCAGCCTGAGCAACATGGTCAAATGCCATCTCTTCAAAAAATAAAAACATAAAAATTAGCCAGGCGTGGTAGTGCACACCTATAGTCTCAGTTACTTGGGGAGCTGAGGTGGGAGGATCACTTGAGCCCAGGAGGTCAAGTATACAGTGAGCTGAGATGGTGCCATTGCATGCCAGCCTGGGTGACAAAGTGAGACACTTCTCAAAAAAAAAGAAAAAGGAAAAGAATGTTATATTGACCAACAGAAACAGAAAACAAATGGTGGTTGCCAGGGGCTGGGGGAAGTGGAGAGTGACTGCTTAATGGGTATGGGGTTTCCTGTAGGGTAATGAAAACATTTTGAGGCTGGGTGGGTAGCTCACACCTGTAATCCCGGCACTTTTGGAGGCCAAGGCAGGCGGATCACCTGAGGTTGGGAGTTCAAGCCCAGCCTGATCAACATGGAGAAACCCCATCTCTATAGTCAAAATACAAAAATTACTGGGGCATGGTGGCACACGCCTGTAATTCCAGCTACTCCAGAGGCTGAGGCAGGAGAATCGCTTGAACCCAGGGGTTAGAGGTTGCAGTGAGCCAAGATCACGTGATTGCACTCCAGCCTGGGTGACAGAGTGAGACTCCGTCTCAAAAAAAAAAAGAAAGAAAGAAAAGAAAACATCTGAAACAACGCAGAGGTGGTTGCACAACCTTGTGAATGCGCTGAATTCCACTGAATTGTACACTTTGAAAAGTTACGTCAATTTATGTTACATGACTCTCACTTCAGTGACAAAAAACAAAAGAATACTGGTGGTAGGAAAATGTGTTTGAGTTTTATAGATGGGTGGGATCTGCTACAGTCAGTCCTAGATCAACATGTAAAATATATTTCCTCCTGCAGATTGCAGTCAACAAAGTATGAAAAAGCCTTGCCTTGTTACATTTGACCTACTGAGGGCAAGCTCTAGGAAAGAATCTCTGCTAAGCCCTGAGGCAAAGAAGACACACCATTCATTTGAGCTCAGCCCAAAGATGGATAAGAAGAAAACTTCAGCCGGGCGTGGCGGCTCACGCCTATAATCCCAGCACTTTGGGAGGCCGAGGCAGGTGGATCACCTGAGGTCAGGAGTTCCAGACCAAAGCCTGGCCAACATGGTGAAACCCCATCTCTATTAAAAATACAAAAAATAGCCAGGCATGGTAGCAGGCACCTGTAATCTCAGCTACTCCAGAGGCTGAGGCAGGAGAATCGCTTGAACCCAGGAGGCAGAGGTTGCAGTGAGCCAAGATTGCACCATTGCACTCTAGCCTGGGAGACAAGAGCGAGATTTTGTCTCAAAAACAACAACAACAACAAAAAACAGCCCTCAATGAT